TGAAGCTTCAGTTTGTGGTTCATCATTATTAGATTGCATCCTACTTGAGATTCAAATCATTGAAGGTCACTTTCACTGATGGTTATTAAATGGTAATGTGTTTACCCACTTCCGAAATGTGACATATTTCAATATTATAACAAGATGTTCAGTAATGTAAGCCTGGACCTATAAATCTGCCAGAAACTGACTGGATCGTTAAACATACTAGTTGAAAGGTAAGAGGGCTGTTGAATTGTCTTCTCCCTTAAGTAATTTGCATTGAGGAACGAAGGTAGATCATTTTGCACTCGCTTACCTTCAAAGATTCCCTCTTTCAATATTATGCAAAACTATACAGCAAGAAATACAAAATTTGAGTATTATAGCTCAATATCGCACTTGGATGAGTGGTTGGGCTCGCAGGGCATCTCTGCGGCATCATATTCGTTGGGGGCGTGATCCGTTCCTCATAATTACACCTCATACTTCAGCATCTGCTGAAGGGAGAAGAGAGAGGGAGTTCCTGCGAGTCATTCTTCATGATTAATGCAGGTGTGCCTGAGAGGCCTTTTGGGAACGACCGGAGAATAATTACTGCGAAGTATAAAGACGTGAGCATGCCTCCGCTCTCTCCCCTCTTCTGACACCCTCCAAACTACACCAGCCGCCAAAGAGCTATTAGACTAGAGAAGGCCATGTAGAGGATCTATCATTTGGGCTGCCTGTTTCTCTGAAGCAAGAGAAGAGGGAAGTAAAGGGGAATTTGTGGATCTATAATTGGGAGCAATTTCAAAGCTGAATCACGCCCAAAAGGCTTGGGTTGAAAAAAAAAACAAAAAAACGGGAGCCTCTGTTGGATAAGATAATGTATTCCAGGAGAAGGAGGTGTATGACTTGCCTGGATATGTGTGGCAACTTTTCCATCTATCAGAATGTGTTTTGGAGCCTGCTGTGTCTCAATCATTATAGAGTAAACTAGATTTTACATTTTTCTGAAGACTCCAAATCAAAGGCCGCGTCCTTCGAAGGCAGATTGTGTCACAGCAGTGCGACAAAGGCTGTCCCAAATGAACCTTCCAATGCAGCCTACAAATGTAGAACTGTGGAATGAAGAGTACAATAGATAGATCCTACGTGGCCTAGCCTACCCCAGAATTCATTGTGCGAAATCAGGATGTATTTTATAGTGAGAGAAATTGCCACATTGCACTTTGGGTTTCAACTTACTCAAAATATATACTGTATGTTACAAATGAAAAAATTTAAAATGTATATGTAAAGTGGTTCAAATGATGACCTGTATCTTACTAAGATGCAATTTTATATAGATTATACTCTTTTTGTTATGTACAGAAATGGACCACGATGAACATTTAGAAAGGTTGTGAACCCTGTTTTGCAGTTGCTTTTTCTTTTCTTTTTTTCTCCTCTTCTTTTTTGGTTTTAGCTGTAGTTTTACTTTCATTTTGTCCTTGTCATTTAATTTAGTTTTCACGCTATGACTGTTACTATTGGTTTTTTGTAGTTTCAGTTTTTATTTCTATTTTAGTACTCTTGTGCTGCTGATGTTAGTGCGTTCGGTGATATCATCTAAATATTTTTATTGAATAACTTTAATTTTTAAAATGTATGTATTATTATGTTCATTATTCGTTTTTAACTTTGCAACACATTGAACTTCAAATTTAACTTTACAAATTTACAATTAAATTTACTCATTTGTTAACATAGTTAATTCATTAACTAAAAATAAGAAATATATTTTTTCAGCATTTTTTATTTTTATTTTTAAGCTTTGTTAATGTTATGTTAATAAAAATGTTCACGGCCATGTTAGTTCACAGTGCATTAACTGCATAAAAATAAATGTTTACTTTATTTTAGAAAGTTTTGTAGTCATTAAATGTATTTTAATTTTAATTTAATTTGTTTTAATTTAGGTTTCATTTTAGTTTTTGATAACCATAATTACACTGTGTCTAACTAGACTCGATATATACAACAGAGAAGATTAATTGAAAAATGAATTTACAATTTTCCTCTCCATTATGTTGGCTATAGTGCAGCTTTGTTGATGAGATTTAATTATGATGTAAGTATCTCCATGGTCCAGAGCCATTGGCCAACTGTTTCTTAGTATTTTGACAGAACAGTGTCTGTCATATTTTGTGCTGACGCCATATGTTGCCTTCTGCAAAAAGGTCAGCGGCGGTGAGAATGAGTGGTATGCAGAGGTCTTTTACACTCCTCTGGTCCACAGCTGTGCTCCTCACACACACCCATGAGCTCCAGAGGTTATTCCAAGGTCACACTTTAGATGAGCCAAACTCTCACCGAGAGCAAGGGGAATCAAAAATTTTTTGCGATCAAACAAAAATCAAACAAAAATCCCCTGCAGCATCAAGCCCGACCCCATGTTGCCCCCATGATATAATTAGTTATGGGGACAAGTAATTATTGAATTAGTTAATAGGATAACACAATACTGTAGTATTTTTCTAGATATTTGGTGTGCTCTTTGAATGACACAGATTTGGATTCTGCCCTGGCTACTTTCCCGCTGATGTTTGAGCTTCTCGTCCTCCTTGTGCAGCTCTAAGTCAGTGATATTTTACCTTAAAGCAGCAGAAGCCAAAATAGAATCTGGTTCAGGCAGAATGTACAATGTTAACACTAACTCCCAGGGTGTACAGTGGTCACACTGGAATCAAATCTTTTGTCATTCTTGCTGAGAGAGTTGTTCCCTTTTCCATGGATCGGTGCTGAATAACAACAGCGGCTCGGCTGCTGCATAGTAGCTGCCACTTCACTCCTGCCTCACACACCGGTACAATCTAGTGAAGGCAAGCTTCAAGTGAATGGTGCTTGGCAGAACTTGAAAGACATGTTTCAGACCATCTGGACAGGTGATGAAATGTGTGGTTCTGTTCATGAGCACTGGAACATGCTAGTCTTCTGATCATGATTTTTTAGCACTTTTTCATACAAGGCTTGACAGAGTGATTTCATATTCATTCGCATCTTAGTCGCAAACTGTGAAACAGCTTCTCGACCAAGAAAAAATGTAGAACGGGACTTGAATTTGACCAAGAGAAGAGAAGAGAAGAGGCCGGGAGGGGAAGTTATTTTGATTAAAGATTACGAGGGCACATGAATTTTTAAAAGAATGTAATGATGTACATGGATAAATCATTTATAATAAATACTGCAATATTCCATAAAAAGATCATGGTGACTTTTATGCTACTCTTTCTCACCATAGGGTGAAGTGTTTTGTGTGGCTTGCAGGGTATATATTGGAAGTATGAGATTGATTTATTTATTGTTGATGTAAATGAAAAATGACACATTTTATGTATTTATTTATTTATTTTGTGCAAAAAATGTCATAGTAAGTTGATATATCCAAAATGCTCACATATACAGCACATCTTAAATCTAAATTTGCATTTTGAATACAGTATATTAACAATGTTCCTAGACTAAAAAGGGAGATATTATCAATTGTATTTGGCAATAAATAATTGTTTTGTATAAAAATATATATTTATTAATATTATTTAAATACATTTACATACATTTAATATGCAATGTGTTACTTTACTCATTACTTGGAAAAAAGTAATTGATTATATAAGGCAAGTAACCCCCAACTCTGCTCTCCAATATTCACTGTAACTTCCACACACACAAAAAAAAGCTTTTACGGATTTTTAAAAAATCTGTGCCTGATTGCTGCCTTTACACCAGCTCATCTCTATAAAAATTGAACGAGGGCTGTACTTGGAAAGAGTAGTTTTGCCTTGGTATGAATGCTTTACTTTTGATAATTCGTAAGGCCATTATGGAGCACAGTCAGTGTATCTGTGTGCAGGAGAGGTGTGTGCGTGTGTGTGTGTTTGAGAAAAAGAGAGAGAGAGAAATGGAATGTTTGTTTGATGGCGAGTGATTTTCACCAGCTGCTGCCATAGGGCTTCATCCAATAAAATTAAGAAAGCAGACACACACATAGACATGTTAAAAACGTAAGGTTTAAAACTGTGTGAAGACTTCCTCTTTCTCGCTTTCCCAGTAATTGCGGTGTGTGTGTTTATGTATGTGAATGTGTGTGGATGTTCTTAAGAACCAATTAAATTTTCCTTGGTTTTGCCAAGAAGGCTCAGTGATTCATCCAAGATAATTGGATCAGTTTATCAAAATTTATAATTTCTGTGTTTATGTGAATAAATAATAGGTCCCAATGACTAATAAATATGTATATGTGTTCTTATGTGGTCAAACTTTTTTTTTTTTTTAAATAACGTGTTTATAACAGGTGTTTTGTTTTTAATTTATGTTATAATTTTGTTATGTTTTATGTATTTATATATGTGTATTTGTATGTTAATTATTTATATAAGTTAAATTAAATATATTTTTTTATTTCTTATATTCAATATATATATACACACACCATATTAGCGAACAAATTTCTTGTTTTTATGTCTAAGTGTATTTTTTTCTGTTGTGTTCAAATTTTAGTCTAGTTTATCACTTAGTGATGATTCATGATTTCTTTTTGAAAACGTTTGCATGCAGTTGCACATCTTTTCAGGCACTTTTGGTCACTTTAAAAGAGTTTAGATATCCAAGAACTATATATTTTCTGGCTCTCCTTTTCTTACTGGAATCGGCCTAAATTGTAACTTTTATAAGTTTAAGGTTTAATACAAATATTGTGACATTTTGACAAGTTTCCTTACCATAAGATGAGTAATATCTCCTGTAACCCCTGCTCCAGATTTGGCTGAGAAAGCTAAAAGGTTGTCATCCTGTCATCCTTTTCCTCCTTTAATGAATGTCTTCCTGTCAAATGTGTCACTGTCTGTGTCTTTTGTGCATGTGGTGATGTACGAGGCCTCTAGTTTTATCTCAAAGACAGTAAAACCTTTATTTGACGCGAAGCTGCAATCTTAAGGAAGCCTTTGTAAAACAACATTCCCATACACTAAACCGAATGTCTTTACTGCCCCCTGTAGGTGACCTGGTGTCTCGAGCCATGCATCAACTTCAGCCTCTGCACATCATGAACCCCAGCAATGGAACGCCAGTACACGAGAACCGCACCAGCACCGTGCACTGGGAACCGGAAGCCCTCTACACGCTCTGCTACTTCATGCACTGTCCTCAAATGGAGTGGGAAAACCCTAATGTTGAACCCTCTAAGATTACCCTGCATACTGAGAGGTATAGAGTATGTTGCGCATTAGCACCATGTTTGTCACAATAATAGAGCTTTTCATATTAAACTATGTTATTTTCTTAAGACGAGTTGATGCATACCTCTCTCGTCTTGCTTTGGCGTGCGAGACATTTTGATAGCATTTAACTAGCCCAGTTCATTCAATAGGGGCCAAGCAGAGAAGCGACCAAACACCTCCACGTTTTCCCTATTTAAATACAGTTACACGAGACCAAGAATGGTGACACAAAATAAAACGTTGGGCTTTTCTAAGCATGTAAAGTGGATAACTATAATGTATGGTGGAATACCTCAGCAAGTGATTCGGCACATATTTATCTATGGACTCGGCGCAGTAATATCATCACTCTGGAGAGGGAGAGGACTTTTCACGAGTGATGATATTACTGCGCCGAGTCGAAGTGCTCCCAATCACTTGCTGTGGTATTCCGCCATACATAATAGTTATACACTTTACACGCTTAGAAAAGCGCAAAGTTTTATTTTGTGTCACCTTTCAACATTTTTTCCTGATGACCTTTAGGACTATTGACACAATCGGGGCTCAGGGAAGGCAAAGAAAACGGGATTTACACTTCATCTTGATTCTCTAGATGCAATGTCTTAGCACAAATCAAGATAAAGTAGAACGCTTCACTCCTGTTGGAGGAGAGAGTTAATGAATTGTTATGGAGTTGTGTTCAGCATCCTCTTGATAAACTCATCAGGACATCTCTTCCCAGGCTGCCCCACATCACTCAGATGTGATAAAAAGCCCCCTTCCAAGGACCCTGTGGGACACCCATGCAATGCTCGACAGAATCAGGAAGCTGTCTGCTTCCCCAGAGAGGGTCTGCTCTATTTTATTCATTTCTTTCTTGGCCTCTCACAGACGAATGAGAGGGTGGAGGAAGAAAGAGAGAGTGAAAGATAAGAGAATGACAGAAAAATAAAAGAAAATAGATGGTAGGTGAGGACAGGAATAATAAATAGAGATGGAGAAAGAAAACAAGAGATCAGAGCGAAGGAGCGTCTGGAGGTGTTCAGGGCCGTGGCTTTAGATTGCAGGCTTCTGGACTTTTGTTGATGTGCTCAGTGACATTTCATCAACCTTTCAACATTCCTACTGTAGAAGAATAACACACCAAGGGCACGAACACTCATAAACACACTGTAATTATCACTCTGCTTTGTCCCACGTACTGTACTGCATCATTTCCAACATGAAATACACTATACACTAAAAGATCTCTGAAATATACTTGCTGGCAGTCTTGAAGACAGTGCATTGAAATTTTAAACAATGAATCGTTCTCAGTTTGCCTAAAGCTGTGCTTTAATTAAGCAGTAAGTAAGGTTAAGATTAGGTGGTTATATGGAGGAGCAAAATTTTGCACTTTTGAGAATATCGATATCCACTTTTTTAATAATTGTAGTTTTTTTAGTTAATAGTAAATATTGTTTTGTTATATATATATATATATATATATATATATATATATATAAATATATAAATATATACAGTATATACGTACACTGTATATATGGTATTATAATAGCTTCTTGACAAAAAATATCTTATAATACCATATATCTAACAATACATTTTATCAATCTAAAATGTAAATATATTTATAATAAATTATAATTATATTTAATAATTATATTTATATTTAATATAATAAATGTAATATTGTAATTTAATATAATATTCAGTAAATGTTGTCTTTGTGTGTGAATACAGTTGTAATCAAATTTATTCAAACCTATTGGCAAAATTTACAGACTTTCAGCTGTTTGCAATGAAAAAAATTAAATGAAATAGCTCAACACAACAAATGTTTAGGGTGATTTCCCCAAATTCAACTGAAAATGCAACTTTTCATGAACTCTGCAGTCTCAAAATAATAGTATTATAATATCTACTTGACAAAAAAAGATATTTTATTTGAAACAGGAAGAATTTATAAATATAAAATGTATAATTAAATTCTTTCATTGCAATTTTTCTTAAAACAATACATTGAAAACAACAAATTATATTGTATATTCATTCTTGGGGTCTTTTGGTCTTTTATTTTAAAAAAACCCCAAAAGTATGTATTTTTTTCTTAAAGGTTTGATGTGATCTTTTTATTGTACTACTCCTTAGATAAAAGTACCAAGCTTCCATAAACCAATGCAATATATCTCGATTAAATATTTATGAAGACTTTGACATTTTTCAAGAGACCCTGAAGTAATTTTGATAAGAAAACTCCCTTCCTCTGGTCAAAGTGCAAAAAAAAGAAAGTCTTATTTTCCAACCAGATGTGGCTTCACTTTTAAATTCCACACTGGAATGAGAACCACGTCCTTTTCCTACAAACATTTCTTCATAGGGTGGGGAGCGGAGAAGCACATTATTCAGACTGAAGAGAAAAAGAGAAGGGTTTGCGGTTTGTTTTGGCAAATCTCGGATTCTTGGCAGGCTTTCTTACGGTGGGTAGGTGTCCGGGGAGGAAGAGTTAGGATTGTGCAAAGCCAGCTGTTAGATGCAGGTCAAAAGAAGCACATTTATATGAAGATAGATCGATGGTTCAAGATGAAGCTTGATGATTTTGTTCCCAATATTTCTGGGGTCAAATGTCTCCTTTTTATTCACGTCCAAGTGCGTGCAATAACAACTCGAGAATGTTTTCTCCAATTTGGAAACTAACATGTTTTGTCCCACACATTGCTCACTTTTTAGCACAGTGGGGTGTGTGGAACAACTTTGACACAAAGACGAACCGATAATGTTGTGTGGGCGGACAAAAACGGTGAAGTCATTGTTTTTTCATACTTGAAAGTCATACACTAAGCCCATTTCAACAAACTGTGTGCATTTCTCATTTAGTCATATTAGCTGTCACCATTATTTAATGTTGATCCACAACGACTCTAAACTCAGTTAAACAGCAGTGAAATAATCTGAATATGCTCATCGGAAATGCTTGTAGCAAATTTTCAACACGTTGTGATCATTGTGACTCACTGCAGTTGAGTCAGCTTCCTCAAGTTCCTCAAACTTTACCCTGTGAAGAAAAGTTTCGAATCATATATATACAGTATGTAAATGTGAGATTTGGCACAATGAGACAGTGTAATGGAAGCAAATTTGCAGCCTTTAAATTATATCATTTTAATTCAAATTCGTCTGTTGGAATGAGAGTGTCTGATTGAAAACTTGTCAGTTTGGTAACAGGTCTTTCATATTCCGTCATTATTTATATGAAGCGTAGAGATGGTAATTAGTAGAAACTGTAATCCCATCAGAGAGCTTATGATTACTTCTTTAAAGTATCCGGAAATTGCAAACGTGATAAAGGAAGCAAATGTACGCCGACAGTCAAAGGTTTGGACGCACTGGACTGAATTTGTTTCTTATGATCATAAAAACCTATTGGTCTGAATGTTTAATTCTTAAATATTAGGAATGAAGTTTGTTGACAAAATAAATGATGAAACACCTGTAAGCAGTAAACAGCTTTTCTTAAATCAGACATATCTTTGTTCTGCCCCTGCAGGCCGTTCCTGGTCCTGCCTCCATTGATGGAATGGATCCGGGTGGCCGTGGCGCACACAGAACACCGCCGAAGCTTCTCTGTGGACAGCGATGATGTACGTCAGGCAGCCCGACTGCTGTTACCCGGGGTGGACTGTGAGCCGCGGCAGCTAAAGTAGGTTTGGAAGGCAACGCCACTTCCGTACATGCACAAACACATGGTCGGCATGCACGCTATAAATATAGAATGCCTTTCTTAACAGTTAGTCATTCATTAAAAGACAGAGGGACATACAAACACCTAGACACACACACGCGCACACACACACACACAATGTACTCAAATGCCTCGAATGAATTGCACAGAGGATTGTTAACTTCTTGTGTGGATTTAGTTTCCTAGTGACAAGCTTTGAAGTTCTATGTAAATGACTTTCTACATGGACACAGTTATTTTTAGGAGCACCTCAACAGATGCCGGATGAACCTGGCAATTTTTGTAATGTCTTCTTTTTCCATGGCAACAATCTTTTAAAGTAAAAGCTGCCTAAATTAATAACCATCTCTTCGAATGTGTGTGTGTATGTGTGTGTGTTGTCTTTCTTCTGAGCCTAGTAACAGTTTCTTGAAAAGAAAATGATGTTATAGGATTAAATAAAATATTTTATAATCATAAGATTTTATATGTAATAATATATAATGTATTTAATATACAATATAAGAATATATACTAAAAACATACCTAATTACAAGCTGCTAGGCTGAATCTAATTTGTGTGGCAGAATATTAAAGAACTGTTGTATGTGTATTTAAAAACTAAATAAACACTTACCTTTTATTCAACAGAGCAGATGACTGCTTCGGTACCACAAGGAAACTGGACGCTGCATCCACAGAAGCAAAATTCCTGCAGGACCTGGGCTTCCGGATGCTCAACTGTGGACGAACTGACCTGGTCAAGCAAGCAGTCAATCTGCTTGGGCCAGATGGCATTAACAGTATGAGTGAACAGGTGAGCATGGATATTTATTCAAGTTACTTTTAAAAGTAATGCATCACAATATTGTTTTACTCCCCAAAAAAGTAACTAATTTGTATACTAAATTATACATTTGCACCTTTATATCTAATACATATTATTATTAAAATGAGATGATATGACCTTGAAAGTGGCATTATATTGCAATGAAATTCACTGAAAAATATATTCAACATGAAAGGGCATTTGCCAACTCATTTTACTTCAGTAATGTGACGTTACATACAGGGACCCCAAAAAGTTATAAATGTCATTGCATTTGATACAGAAAAACAAAACAAAAAATAATTTTTTCTGAACTAACCATGAAAAGAGGCTTGGTGACACTAAAAAGAAAGTCCTTTTGAAAGTGGAGCAAGTTAAATGGGTTCTTCACTGCTGGCAAAATTGGCTTTTTAATAAAAAAAAAAAAATTGATGTCTGTACAGTAGAAAAGTGGAAGAAAAATTGGTGCTACCTGACTAGAGAAAAAAGGATGCTATCTTCCCTTTTGCCAAATAGGTATATAACGCCAGTCAAACATCCCTTGCTTGAGTAAGAAATACTTCTTAGAAAACTTTTACTTATAATGGTGTCAACTGTCGACAAAGCTTTCAAAAGTTCACCGGATGATGCATTTTGCTGACAAATAATCATGAATTTCTTGTTCCAGGTAACACAGAGAACGACTGTTAATTTATGTATACAGACAATATAACAATACAAACGCATGAAAGTAACACTAATATATATATATATATATATATATATATATATATATATATATATATATATATAATAAAAAATTGGGAGGGGGAATGATGTGCACTGTTGAATTGTGCAAACTAAGATAAAGAGCATGTATTTTGATTACAGGATTTGGCTTCCCTTATCCATCCTACAGTGTCTTTTCAATTCTGTTGGCACAGCTCCTTTTGTCTATACTGTAACACATTTTACAGTGACTATGAATGCAATTAATTACAACACCAACAACATAATAACAGAGTGTATTTATGAGCAGCTCCACTAAATAATAATGTCATGAAATAATCACACATCCTTTAGTATTAATCAGAACTTGCACTGTAATTACTCCGCAATGTTAATGCTCATGTATACTGTGACTTTCTAAAAATCTGCCTTCCATAATTTTCTATGTATCGCATCTGCCTCATACCATTAAAAAATGGCCTTCTTATAATATTATATGTGGGAAGAAAGATGACCCACATAGACATTTAAAGGCTAAGGAAATAAATAAGATGTTACATGACCTTTTAAATAAGGGAAAACGCTTTTAATCTGACTGATCTGTGTAGGAAGCATCTATCATGATAGTAGTCATGACACTCTGTATTATGAATCAAACAGTGACATCTGTATATCTTATGATTGCGTGTTGTTGTCACGGTCTGTCTTCAAAACAACAGCCAGTTTATGAAAAGAATGACGGTGATATGCCGGTGCTGATAAAGTAGATAAAACTAACATGTGAAATTGAAGCGAAATGTAATGTGATGTGATGACAAAGAGAATAGTTGGAGTCCAGCTGGGAATCATTGAGAGTTGCTCCATCTTTCCCTGGAAGAGTTGCTCCGAAATCACACTGGCAAATATGGTACTTGTTATTTCAAGAAAAGCCTTGAGGGAAAATAGGACTCAACTCACAAATGAATCTCCTTCTTCGTGGTGAAAACTGTTTGCAGAACTGCACACGCTCGAGTTAGTAATGGAGTAAAGTCTTTACAAGGAGTTTTAACATCAAGCAGAATGCCTAAAAACCCCTTTACCCGTGTAAAGAGTAAAATTAGCAATAAATGAACTGAAATCACTGTGAAATTGAGTGCATTAAAAACTTGACCATATATCTCTTTTTACAGAGACCCAGGTGAAATTTAAATAGATTTGTCACCATTATATAAACACATAAAGAGTTTTCGCTAACACTTTACATTAAGGTTTCTTTAGTTAAAATTAGTAACTGCATTAGTTAACGTTATCTAACAATGATAAATACCTTTAAAGAAATGTATTGAGCTTTGTTTGTTCATTTCAACATTTACGAAAACGTTATTAAAATAAAAAATCGTATCTGTTAACATTAGTTAGTGGATCTGAGCTAACAATGAACAGTTGTATTTTTTTTACTAACCTTAACAGATAATTACTGTAACAAATGTATTAATCATATATACTGTATAGTTTATATACGAATGATTTTAGTTAATGTATATATATATCTCAAAACATGACTATGAAAGGTGAGAGGGTATTAATGGTGTATTTTCTTTCAAAGACTGTTTAAAAACGTAGCTAATTATTTGGCTTTATATACCTTAATGCACTGATGCTTATATGTGTGTGTTTCCCTAAAGCAGAGTAAGACTTGAATTGTTTTCTGTTTAATGTGCTTTCATTGAGCTTGAGCATCATCCATAAAGACTACTGTTCCTCGGTTCATTTAAATGGACACTTCAAGCCCTTAAGACGATGTTATTTTCAGAGACTTTTTGCTAAATAACTAGTGCCGCAGTAACTTGTGCTGTAGGCTGTACAGCGATGGGCTCGGACTATGGCATGTTTACTGCAGGTGTTCAGTGTTTTTTATGTGTTCCTCAGGGCATGACCCCTCTCATGTACGCGTGCGTCCGTGGGGACGAGGCCATGGTGCAAATGCTGCTGGACGCTGGGGCAGACATTAACAGTGAGGTCAGTAGTTTTTGGTTGGACATTATGAAGTGTCATGTATTTTTTTTTTTTTTACTCTGTCTCTATTAAACTAACTATCCTATCTCTATAAAATAAATCAACTATTCTCTCTGTCCTCTTCCCGGTGCTGTTTGCATGCACTTAAAAAGTGGTCGTGTCTACTTAGGTTTTCATTGATCTCGTCGATATTTATTTAGATTAGAAGCAAATGAGATATGCTAATGATTTCTTGCAAAAAATGACATATTTGTACAATAGTGTCAACAAACACTATTGACTATACATATTTTTTTTTTAAATACAATGATTACCTAAAGTAGATATACTGATTGTGGAACATTCAGGTTGAAAACATGAAACATGATAATAAAAATGGATTAAAACTGGCTAGTTTGCATAAGACAGCATTGACTCAATGTAATTCTAATATAAGGCTTATTAAATGATATTAAAAGGAACATGTTTCACGTATTTGCCTTTTATGTATTAGTCCTGAAACCGGTGAAGAACGAGTACAGGTCAAATTTTACCACACAAAAATGTTGGGATGTTACTTTTATGTTTTCTAATTAGCATAATATGCCTGGATGAGAAGTCCCACTATTTTTGATGATTCGAATGATTGTAATTGAATGATTTTCTTTTAACTGTATTACCATAATTAAATAATAAAATCGTTATATATTAAACGCAGTATAACAAATAGTACCACAATGACTAAATCCTTTGCATCTTAAATAAATTATTTCATGGTAGTATTTCACATTACAAAAGTGAGAGTTTTTGATAAAATGTCAATTATTTTGGGCTGAAATTTGACCTTATGTTCTTGACCATTTTCATGAAAGCCAGTCCTGTATACATGCATGTCATGATGTGATATTGTGACCTCATGTCGTCTTCATTTGACCCTTAAAGGAAATTTTTAAATGGAGTTGTTGACTTGGGCACAAAGCACCAAACGCATAAACAGTGATTTTAACTTGTTTTACAAATTGCTTCAAGCTCAAGAAGAGTATTAGCAGGTGGGCAGATGTGCAGTTATTTGCCTACCTTATGTCCTAATGTTCCTAGGCGGTTTTGCACAAACAATTGTTTATCCTTAATCCCACCCGAATTATCAGTTCCAAAAGGTCATGTTTGCCTAGACAAGAACAGATGCTCAGTTCAGCTGTAAGCATTCAAACCAGTCAAGCCTTCTTTTTTGGTGCTTTGTACATGAGTCACTGCTCACTTACACTTCTAGCGTTTGAACTCGCTGCCAATTATTCTTCCTGCAGTCTTTGTTACCGCTATGAAAACCGTGAACTAGATCCTAACCGTCTTCAAACCGTGGTCAGGATTTCGAGTAAATCGATGATGGCGTATAGGGAGCAAACGCAAGTAAACCCTAGATTGTGGGATGGATGGAAGAAGGGGTTTGGAGAACAAAACAAGCACTTGCTCTTTCTTTCTCTGTTCGCTTGAATTAAAAAAAACAACCAGACGGCGGAAGAACTTTCCAACTTTCCGCTTACTCATTCACTCTTTCCTTGCCCTTTTTTCTTTCTCGTACTCCTGCGATTCCGCAATTGGAGCTCAGTGTTCTGGTATATAATGGCTGAATTTTTCTCTCCCTGAACTTCACCTATATGATTCCCAGGTGCCCAGCTCACTACACAAGCACCCCTCAGTTTATCCTGACACCAGGCAGGGGACTCCACTCACTTTCGCCGTGTTACACGGACACGTCCCTGTCGTGCAGGTAGTGGCGCTGTGAATGATTTGATGCCTTCCACCTTTGTACTTTCCTTGATTATTATTATGATGCCGCCATCATAATAATAATGGCACAAAGAAAACTGAGCTGAAACTTTTCATGCAGTTCAGCATCAGTTTCTTTGTTTCTGTGGGTGGTGATGGCGCAGTGGATAAGACGCATGCCTTTGGTGTGAGAGACCCGGGTTCCAATCCACTGTGAGACACCAATGTGTCCCTGAGCAAGACACTTAACCCCTAGTTGCTCCAGAGGCGTGCGACCTCTGACATATACAGCAATTGTAAGTCGCTTTGGATAAAAACGTCAGATAAATGTAAATGAAAATGATTGATGTTGCTGCTGGATGTTGCTGGGCTGGATGGTGCTGCCCCAGTTCTAAGGAACTTGGGTGAGGATGTAGACTTGTATCAGGAATAGGCTATATGTGCCAAAAAAGAAAATGGAGGCCAGTTTATTGACTGTGCACTCTACTTTTCCCCCCAAAAGTGTAAAAAAGTCTTAGTTTCACTGTAAATACTCTATAAGTATTGAATCCAATGTCAGAAGGCCCACTTATTTAGCTCTTCCAGGAAAATGGAAAGGCAAGGTGATATTTCCTGGGATATTTATCAGTTTCCCAGAAGCACACATCCACAGTAGGAGATCTTATCAGTAAAATCCTTTTTATTTCATTCAGTATAAATTATTTCCCATTTTCTTTGACAAACAGACCAAAAATCGTCTACCTAAAGCATCAAGAGGGAATGAAATTATGACCAGATTACCATTAAAGATGTTTACTAATTACAGATGGCCTATGTGATGAAAAGAGCAGGCTAATTTAATGCAATTACAGGTCTTTTATTTACCGGTGTCTTGGTGAAATTAAAGTTAAATCCTCTCAAATCTGTTTTATAATGACGGTTCTTCTCACCTTATTGAGCAGCTTCTACTGGATGCCAGAGCTAACGCGGAGGGAGCGGTTCAAGAAGCCACAGAGAATTACACTGAGACGCCACTTCAACTTGCATCTGCAGCAGGTACATACAGAAGCCATACAGAAACTTTCCATTGACTTTTTGACTGAGTATTATAAGTTATTTAAGTTATTATAAGTATTTATGGTAGTAATGTGCACTATTTAGGGGTAGATGAGGTATTTTTGAGAGTACTGTTTAGTGGCATTTACATTATGGAGCCTCCATGTGAGTGAAATCTTTGACGGCATAAATACATTTTAGATGATTTTTTTGCTCTACATCCAGAACCCATTTTTAAATGGTTACATTTTGTTCCTTTTTGTGCCTCTAATTTCAACCAAATGGTCTCTGCTGACTGTTAACTGACAAACTGAAGACATTATACTTTTGTGGCCCAGACCGGTTCCAGAACCATAACAGTATTAGTCAGAGACTGATGGGGCTGTGTCGCTCTCAGGAGCTCTTTGCAAACTTGCTAATGAGCCTTAGGAACAGCAGCTTTATTTTTCTTAACATCCACAGTGTGAATGTGACAAGTCCACACGGTGGAATGATGCATGGAAAACCAGTGCCAAATGAGATTTCATAATCCCGGCTGTGGCAGTCCTATGAATATGAATTGACCTGAGTGATATTCATTTACATTAGCCAAGTGTTTTCCAGCATAATGCTGAAAATTACCTGTCTGCCCCACTTAGCGAACACACTCTTGAAGACTTGGGTAATTCAGGTCTGAGTCAGCTGGTAATGGGCACCTTCTCTGTGGGATAAAAAAGGATGGGGGTGCACAAAAATTGTATCATCTCATGCAGAAGAGGGGAATGAAGGAACACAAGCCAAACCGATTGAGACGAAATGTCTAGAAACAGGTTTAACGGTATGCCTGTGTTCCCTTGTGACGCCTCAGAAATGGCTGCGGATGGGATTGTTTGAGCCTCATCGGATCCTTATCAGGCCTCACTGATTACGGCCCATTTGCTGTATGCTGGGTCAATTATCCCCAGTGTTAGTGTTCAGGGTTTCCTTCTAATTTAGAAAAGCTTTCTCCTCATTAGTCTATGTGGATGTGAACAGGACAGTCTGCTAATTTACATTAGTAAATCAATCTGGGGCTGGGGACGACCTGCCAGACAATCTGATTCATAAATACTTTTGCTATAGCTCAACTGGTAAAGCAAGTCCTCTCAATTCTGGTAAAATGTGTACCGTTTTTATGACCTGTTCAAGGTCAAACCATGCCAGATAAGAGACAAAGGACTTTCTATTTTAAATTTATGCTGTCGCTTAATATGAATAAGGGAAATTGTAGATGGAGGAGCCAATCAGGATAAATAAACAAAATCCGCAACTTAACCTATCCCCTTATTAAACTAAACAAAGAAAATAAGTAACGCAAAACTGGTCTAACTCAATGTTGTATGATAAAAAGAGGGGACTAAAATACAGTAATTGATTTTTTTTTTTCCCACTCTCACAATTTGTATTTAATTAATGAATGATTGAATTCATTATTAATGAGATTTTTTCACACTTTTTTTTACTTTATCAACACATGATTGACCAAAATAACAGAATTCATTTTACTTTTATTTTTTAACACATTTTTTACTCTATCAATATATGATTAACTAAAATAACTGAGATTTTTTCACTCTTTATTTATTTATTTCATATTTTTGCACTTAATCAACAAGTAGCATATTTGCATAGTGTTTAATGAATGTTTTCATAAGAGACCGTCCACCTTGTAATACGGTCACAAGAAACACATTTGAGAGATATGCCACTAGTTGTAAACAGCAATGTGTCTCTGCTGACCTTAATAGTAGGTAAACTCTAAATGTGTTGCTTTGGATAAAAGCATCAGCCAAATTAATGTAATAAAATGGCCTTCTTTTAACAGGCAACTTTGAGCTGGTCAGTCTGCTTTTGGAAAGGGGAGCAGACCCTTTGATTGGCACCACTTACCGTAATGGCATTTCCTCTGGTCCGCTGGGTGAAATGAACTCATACAGCCTGGCAGCAGCACATGGACACAGGTAATTCACTATGACTCAACGGAATGTGAAGTGTGTAAAGTGACAGCACATTCACCACCAGCACAACGGGGAATTGAGCTTTCATTATGGTTCATTGACACATCTGTTACACATATCATTATTTCTGTGTCCTTATACATCATTCGGACTGCAGAAACTTAATCTATCAGAACTGAACCCCTGATGCGTTATTATTGGCACTTATAAAAGCTGAGCTGGTGTATTTGACTGCAAAATTGTGTGTAATTTACTACCATAACTCCAACCCCATCATTCACACAGTGAACGGTATGGATGACTGCATGCTCATTCATTCATTCAGTCTCACCTATGGCCAGCGCTGCATAATAGAAGCTTATTGAAATTCATATAGCATACGTCTGAATGAGAATCCAGCATGTTCAACAGCCAACTCACCCACCTCTGCGGTATTTAGGCAATCCGTTATAAAGTCCTTCAAACGGGACACATCTGTATCTGAGCCAGAACTGGATGTCTTTGGCTTCAAGTCCTAGGGATGTTTGCAGTTGTGCATGTCGCAGTGATTGGTTGTTTATGCATATTAGATCAGTTGTAGAGCGCTGGTACTTTCATGAAAGTAAATGAGTTTACAAAGACAAGAAAATGCGGCAAAGCAGAGAAGAAAAACACATTGGAGTGCATTGAGAAATGGAAGTCATAAAGAAGCACTCACAGTATTTCATAGATGTTTTTTTTTATTCAAACACTTTGTACTCATCAATCCACTGATTGCACGCAAGTAATCCTCAATGGCTAATGGCTTTGTATACAACAGTCAATTGTGAAAGTGTTTTTGTTTTTGAAAAAAGTCAATCTTTACTTTACACAAAAAAGTATACTGTTATTATTTAAGTCATGATGTTCCAAACTTATGCTAATGAGTCAGTAAGACATTTAATTGATTTTGAAAATAATATTATTGTATTCATAACTGTTTTCTATTGTAATTAATATCTTTTAAAATATAAGTTATTCTTGTGATGGCAAAGCTGAATTTTCAGAATCCATTACTCAACTCTTTTGAAATCATTGATTTAATTAATGATTTGGTGCTAAACATTCTTATTATCAATGTTGAAAACACTTCTACTTCTTAACATTTTTGTGTAAACCATGATATTTTTTTTCAGAATTATTTGATGAATAGAAATTCAAAATAACTGAATAAAAGTAAAACTTTTAAAGGTTAGTGTATAAGTTGTGTGTGTGACACAAAAGAGCATTTTAAGGATTCTCCATGGTGCTCTTTTTATGTATTACAATATTTTTTGAGTTCATACAATATACATAAAGTTCATAATCACTGTCAAGCTCCAAAAAGACAAAGTAAAAAAATATTATAGGCTAAAAGTAGTCCAATTATCATAGTCTAAGAGTAGTCCACAGTCTTCTGAAGTCATACAATAGCCTTTGTAAAAAAAAAAAAAAAAAAATTGAAAACATGAGGGTGAGTAATTGTTTTGTGAGTGAGCTATTCCTTTGAGTACACATACCTGAGCGTGTTTGTTACGTGCACTTGCTCCTGCAGGAACGTGTTCCGGAAGCTTCTGTCCCAGGTGGAAAAGGACAAGGGGGACGTGCTGTCTCTGGAGGAGATCCTAGCTGAGGGTTCAGAGGTCGTAGAGAGGAGAGCACCACAGAACGAAGGCACCCTCCGGACAGGCAAGGCCAAACTAAGAGCCCTCCGCGAGGCCATGTACCACAGTGCCGAGCACGGCCACGTGGACATTACCATAGACATCCGCAGCCTGGGTTAGTAAAAACACTGCACAATTACCACAGACATCTGCCGCCTGGCTCACTTCTGTCACGCAGCGATAAGTCTCAGCCTCAGATGGCATCTGGTGCGCATTGCACATAAAAACAGCCATTTCCAATCTTACTTGTGAAGGTAAAAACTAAGTCAATTTACTTCTATCAATCCACTACTATAATGCTAATTTTGAGGCTGAACTAATCGCTTCCCAAAGTTTACCAGGTTAGTGGCATCAAATCTTTGAAAGACACTCTTTGAAAGATGTTTGAGGCCCTTTAGTTGCTAGTTAACTAGATATGCATGAATATCTTTTGTGTGTATTGTCATTATCACTATGCACCATTTTTATCTACTAAAAGATGCTATTTACACTATCGTTCAAAAGTTTGGGGTCAGTAAGGTTTTTGTTATGAAATAGTTGTATACTTTTATTCAAGAATGTTACAACAGATTTGTATTTCAAATAAATGCTGATCTTTTGAACTTTCTATTCATCGAAGAGCCTATAAAACATGTATGACAGTTCTCACAAAAATATTAGGCAGCACAGCTGTTTTCAACATTTATAATAATAATAAGAAGAAATATGTCTTGAGCACCAAATCAGCATATTGGATTGATTTCTGAAAGATTATAAGACACTGAATACTGCAGTACTGATGCTGAACATTCAGCCTGGCCACCACATGAATAAATTACATTTTAAAATAGAATTAAAAAACTGATATTTGAAATTGCTAAATTTTACTGTTTATCCATTCCTTATACTGTGTTCTTTCAAAAACATGAAAAAGTCTTAAAGCCTTCCCCCAATTTTTATAATATGCATTGCATTAGTTCTCCTTACTGAGGATTGACAGATCGATGGACGCGACAGATCCATTCTGAAGGGAATATTATTCTGAATATAATTGATATGGATTCCATATGCAGGCGTGCCATGGACCCTGCACACGTGGCTGGAGTCCCTGCGGACGTGCTTTGTGCAGCAGCGGCGACCGCTGATCCAAGGCCTGCTGAAGGACTTCAGCTGCATTAAAGAAGACGAGTACACAGAGGAACTTATCACGCACGGACTGCCACTCATGTTCCAGATCCTTCGAGCCAGCAAGGTCTCAATGCTTTATTACAGCCTGAGCCAGTATCAGCCCTTTATTTACCGATACTTCCTGATCATAACAGGAGACATTAGTGTAGAGTTGTGAAGTGCATTAATTCAGAGCTACTACACTCCTCCTGCTGTAATTAGTGTTATTTTAAAATTATTTATATAGTATTGTAGTATTTATTGATAGCTTTTATTTTTTATTTTCATTTTTAGGCATTTTGTATGTGCTTTTGAAATTGTATTAGTTTTTCTTTGAGTATATTTTATTGGGCTTTTTCTGTTAATTCTGAAGGCAACATTTCTATATTTTGTTCAGGTTTTTCCATCTAATTGAATTTTATTTTATTTCGATTAAAGGAATAGTACACCCAAAAAAAAGAAAATTCTGTCATCATTTACTCACCCTCAAGTTTTTATAAGTTTTCTTTGTTCTGTTGAACACAAAATAAGATATTTTGAAGAATGTTGGTAACCAAACTTTTTTTGGTCCCCATAGTAATTTCTTTTTCATATTATGAAAGTCAGTGGGGACCAGTTTGGTTACTCACATTTTTCAAAATGTGTTCAACAGAACAAAGAAACTTAATGTTTAGAACAACTTAAGGGTGAGTAAACTATAACAGAATTTTCTTTTTTTGGGCAAACTATCCCTTTAATAAAAACTGTTTTAATAGTTTAGCTGCTTGTTTTAGTCTCTCTAATATTACAGCGCAGTTTTGTTGTCATTTAACACTTTAAATTATTTGCAACACTATTTAGAATTTAATGTCCCTCGTAAGTCTCTGCATTATTCTTATCACTGCGTGTCAGTCCCTGTCTCTTAGCAAACAGGCAATCAACGTCAGCCACGCCAGTTCAGCTTTCTCTGTAATTAACAAGATAAATCCTCTCATTACAGAGCTCATCACAAGTGCCGTGTTGCTGTTACCGTAGGCTTGGATGTGTTTTACTTTTAGAAAACAGAATTTAGGGTCGAACTACACCATGTGTGTTTGTGTGATCTACAGAATGAGGTGATCAGCCAGCAGCTGTCAGTAATCTTTACCCAATGCTACGGGCCTTTCCCAATCCCCAAACTCACAGAGATCAAAAAGAAGCAAACGTCACGTTTGGGTGAGTATGTCAGTGGCACCATCTTGTTAAAGGGATAGATCACTTTGAAATTAATTTTTGGTATGTTTTAGCTTACTTCAAGGGCATCCAAGATGTAGATGTCTTTGTTTCCACAGTAGTTTCAATTTTGAGATTTTTAGGTCAAACCGTTCGTGTTATATAAAGCAGGTCTATGGTCACCACCTCAAAGAGCATGCACAGAGAAGTCCAAATTAAACATGATTTATATAAACAGTATTTATATCGTTTTTACCTCTTGTAACCACAGCAACATCCAATTGATCTGAGGGCGCGGGTGCTTTGTGGCTGTGGTAACAAGAGGTAAAAACTATATAAATACTGTTCGTTTTATCACACAAACCGCTCGTTTCGTGTCTTAGGCCATCAATGTGTACTTACATTTACGAGTCATTAAATCATGTTTAATTTGGACTTCTCTGTGCATGCTCTTTGAGGTGATGACCATAGACCTCCATTATATGACTGACAAACAAGAACGGTTTGCATGGTTTGTGTCTTTCAAAGGGACTTCATTTCTGTTCTGCCTCTACATTACCAACAATATCAATAATTTCACTGAATCAAACAAGCTAGAGTGTTTGGCCTGTGCTGCTTTTCAGCACATCAGCAAAATTGCTGAGAAACAACAGTTCCATAAACAGGAATTTGAAGTAGAGGCACAATAATTTTGTCTGTTTTTGCTCCGCTAATAAAAAAATTATTAGACAACCAAAACTAACTGTTGTATTATGCACATTATGTTTCAATTCAGATCATTAGAAAAGGCCAAATCAACATGTGCTGCACAAGGATTCAAATGTATGAGTTAATTGGTGAAGCTTGTTAAATCCATGTGTTAAGCTGCAGTAGTCAAACATCAGTTTCAGTCAGGAGACAAAAAAGTAGCCTATGTACACTTTTAGTTCAATTTCATTTGACTCTCAAAGTTTTGGAGGAACACTAGTGCCATCTAGGCTTTGGTTAAGCTATTGCCAGGTATATAATTATAAAACTGACATCTGTCATGCCTGTCAAACTCAAGACAAGCCACTACTTCTAAATAATGAAAACGCTTGTGTAAACAGTGTTGTGTAATATTGCGTCTCCAACTTAGGGACTTCATCATTTGATTTGTTGCATCCCACAGATCCACACTTTCTCAACAATAAAGAGATGTCTGACGTGACATTTCTGGTGGAAGGAAAGCCATTTTATGCCCATAAAGTGCTGCTTTTTACTGCCTCAGCAAGGTATGTCTTGATGTTGTAGAATTTATTATACAGCAACAGGAGCGGCAGAACTTTTTTACCTTTAGCAAACGTGCTTAAAAGCGCTTTCCTAATATGGTCTATAATTCACTGTAGTTTTAGCACCGGATGTTATTTCAAACGGTCATTTGTGCTCATGATAAGAATAAAAATGTCAGAAGAGTAAACTTAAAATGTATGTATATCTATCTATGTATGTCTATGCATGTTTATACTGTATAAACTCCAAATAACTTTTGTTCATCTTCGAAACACAAAAAGATATTTTAAATGAAGTCTAAGAGATCTCTGTCCCTCCTATAACATGCATGAATTAAAAAAAACTAAAAATTAAATGTACAAAATGTGCATGTGAATTTTAATTCAAAAACGGTATGGTTTCTAATTGTTGACATTTCAATTTCATCTCAAGATAACATTTTAATAATAAAACCTTTCCAAATCTGTGAGGTTTGCAAGAATATTAATTCATGCAAAGTGACTGGATTTTCTAGGATTCATGAGCCAATTCATATTCATGACATTACATCATATCCTGCTTTGCAATTCCGAATATCTTACAGCCACACAATATAAAATGTAAATGTTTTTACTGAGCTTTATAAAAAAAATATTTTGTAATAATACAGCACTTAAAGGACGTTAATGTTTCTCTTTACCTCTTTCTGACTTGCAGGTTTAAGTCTCTGCTCTCTAACAGACCAGCAGCTGAGAACACGTGCATCGAGATCAGTCATGTCAAGTACAACATTTTTCAGGTTGGAATCTTATGGTTCATAAATCCCACTCAAACTCATGTGGTATTACAGTCAAACTGCGCTACCCTAATTCCCTTCTCTGTCAACACAGTTCGGCTTAGTGACAAAATACGTCTGTACATTTGTGACTAGTGCTAAGCGTCTGTCTTAAAATGTTTCTTAGAAGTTTGAGAACTTTTTCGTGTGTTTCAGCTGGTAATGCAGTACCTCTACTGTGGCGGCACTGAGTCACTGCACATCAGGAACACTGAAATTATGGAGGTATTAAATATTCTCTTCCCTTTCCTCCTTTATGCTCCTAATTCGTGCTAACCCGTAACCCTTTTTTCATCACCATGGCACCCACACACTAATGATGACTTAATGATTAATGACTTGAGATGATGTTGAATGTGATGAATGAGTGAATTACGGTCTGATGGCGTATGGGAGATTTCTTATCGGAAAACACTTTGAGAAAAAAAAAAATCTATATGTAATCTCTCATTTATCTTTACCAGATGGAGGCTCTCTTGCACGTAGAACTGCAGCAGAAATTTTGATGAATGTTTATGTATTTTAAACTTAATTAAGCGATTGCTCTTGATCGTTATAAACCTGAAAGCTTGATGAGTTTGGCTCATTAACAATCCCTCTGCTTCAAAGCTCCTGTCTTCAGCCAAATTCTTCCAACTTGAGGCTCTCCAAAGACACTGTGAAATCATCTGCTCCAAGAACATCACGACCGACACCTGCGTGGACATATACAAACATGCTAAGGTACTCTGAAACATTCATTTAGATGTCAATCTAATGCACTTTTATTCATACATTGATTAGGTATTTAATGTGTTGTTAGGATCGGAGATTTGTACATTGTATGTTTGTAAAACCTTGGATTAACATTTCATTTGCATATTTATGAGGTTAATAACATTGATTAGACAAATGCAGCATGCCAACGAGAATGCGACCTGTTTTAGTAATTGCTTGTCTGTCTGTATAAATGTCAGCAGCTTAATTTGCTCTGCTTGTTTTGAGTCTTTAGAAATATACAGATCAGGGGCGTAGCCAGAATTTTATTTTTGGGGGGTCCCGTCTTTAAATGAGGGGGCAACATTATTTATATATACTGTATATCAAGTTGATCTTTCCGTGCTTTTTTAAAAAACTGTAATATTGTACTTTGAGTGCCTGCCATTGTCACGGCATATTAACTCTCACGCAAAGATGAAGATGACAGCGTACGTTACGCGCAACACGTTATATAAACAAATCAAGTTTGAAAATAAGCTGCATTTTCCCGCGCAGCATTTTGATTGGTCAATCTATCAATCCTAATAAAACAACTTTTTTTTTTTTTTTTTTTAAGCAATCAGAAAATCTGAGGGGACCGGACATGTAAATGAGGGGGCCTAGGCCCACCCAGGCCCCCTCGTGGCTACGCCACTGATACAGATAAAGTATCTGTGTGAATATTTAGACAAGAATTGGTGTACATTATGTTATGCTTGACCACTTTGTGTTAATTCGTGCGTCAAGAGCGAAACTGATGCGCGTAAAAAAAGAAAGTTTATAAAGTAAAAAAAAACTTTGAAGCGAAATTTACGCGCGTCAGAATCGAAATCCGTTGGCGGCCATTTTTTGTGTCGACCCAGCATTCATCGAGAGAGTCACCGCTCTGTATTTGCTCTAGAGAGCAGAACAGTAACGTGTTAGTCATATTACAAAATAATTTATTGAAGCATTCACCACGTGAGCAAGCAGCAGGCTCCTGATTGGTTAACACGACGCGAACTTGACGCCAAAGTTCCGATTTTTCTCGGGCGGCAGGCGCGAATTCGCGTCAAACGTGTGAATGCACAAATAGCACTAACTAAATCATTCGCGCTTAACGCGCCAGACGCTCAATTCGCGCCATTTGCGAATGAGGCGAATTTGCGTCTACCAGCCACAGGAATTTTTTATGCGCGTAACGTGTCTTTGAATTGACTTAACATTGAAATCATCCGTGCCTAACGTGCTATTCACGTACGGTGTGAACGCAGCATTAGGGAAAAATTACTAAACATTAACTCAGAATTATGAATAGTGTCTCACAATGCCATTACGTCCCACTCATCCTCAGTTCCTGGGGGCCTCGGAGCTGGCAGCCTTCATCGAGGGCTACTTCCTGAAGAACATGGTGCTCCTGATCGAGCTGGAGAACTTTAAGCAGCTACTGTATGAGGTTCCTGCCGAGAGCCCCGGTCCAGGCCCGTCCTACGACGTCCTCCATGACCTCGAGAGAACCCTGGCCCTTCGCATCCGCTCCATCCATCTCTCAACCTCCAAGGGCTCCATCGTGTGACACGTTCTCCATGCTCATGCCAACTGTTCCTTACAGCGGTTTCATCAAGAGCTCCATTATTGTGTGCCAACCACTTGGAGACATTTCAAACATCACCGCCGACATGACAAGCACCTGCCCGACGGGATGAGCTGTAGGGAAGGCCAAGAGATGGGTTTTAGTCCACAGGCTAACATCTCCACAACGTTGCAGAAACGTCAGCCTGCGGAGCTCATACCATTCCAAGGGCTACGTTACGTCGTGGAAACATTCTAGCAACGTTGTGACAAGCTAATCACGCCCCAACCAATGTTAGTGCCCAGGGAAACCATGGCTTCTGATGTCATCACTGCCTCGGCGATGCATGTGGATTGGGCCAGTTTCATTTTTAGGTGGAACTGTCACCAGGCTACCCGCTGTGGACAGTTTTAGTAACACACACAGTTATATTACTGTACTCTCCGATTGATGTAATAGTGTTAGCCTGCCCTCTGAACCCTGAATTTGTGTAACATTCTCTCCAAGTGTCACTAAACGCTAAGCCAACGATGCATGTTAAGTTCGGTAGGTGATATCGCCATCAAGTTCCTAAGCATTTGTTTTCAAGTTAGGACAAAAACATCCGCTAGGTGTAGAGTTTGTAAAACGGAGGTGTTTTATATACTTACTAATACTCACATCCAACTACAACTTTTGGTATTTGTGACACAGAACAATATGCCGGCTGTTTAAACCCTAGCACTTGTGTTTAAAGCTTCGCGGTTTTAAGGAATAGGGATTTGCTACCTTCAGTCTTTTGATCCAACATAAATTATCCAAGTAGACTAAACTTATTTGAGTTGTTTCTTTTAGTTGATCCTTCTCACCATCGTGTCAGATCTGAGCTTTTCATTTCAGCCCACACACTTTAATGACCCTCCAATCTACCACTGTGCTTGGTACACTTAAAACTGAGCAGTTCATCTTTGCCTTGAGGTCGTGTAACCAACGATCTGTGTTGAATAATCTGCATGGGTCTGGAACTTTTGTAAAAATACACACACATGGAGCTCATTTTCCTTTAGTGGATGCAGAATTCTTTACTAAATTACGGAATTATTTACTATGGTCCTTTGAGGTCTTCGTTGCTTGCGAGTCTGTCTAAATCGTGTTATGAAAGATGCCATTGCACTGGTCGCTAACTTCGTGGCCCAATGTACAAATCCCCAGTCCTCACCTGCTGCACTGCTTTTGTTCAATGTGAAAAATGTGAAGCCAGCTCAAAACAAGCTGTTTTAAGTGTGCATGTTCTGGTTTTACCCGTGTTAGTCTGTAACCCTTCAGGATGTTGGTAATTTAGGAACTGTACCTGACGTATAGTGTTACCAGCAGAAGATTTTTTTGACCTGGCTGAACCCAAAGTAACAGATTTATATTTACGACATTTCATCCAAAGACTATCTAGAAGTTACATCAAAATTTCACCAAATACTCCATTTATCAGCACACATGAGAAGTGACTATATGAATAAGTACGCATGACGTGCTGGTAGTGCTGTCAAAGAGTCCTGTTTCGTTGTATGATTTATATTTCGTGTATGTAATTGAATAACTTGGTTATGAACATCCTCATGTAAAATGAAAGGTTGGATTATAACTAAATTTAAAATGAACAATTGAAATACATACTGATATGTAGCGGACAATATCACGATGCAAATAATTTAAAACTGTGAAGATTTTATTTTAAAGAAACTTAGTATAGTTACTTTATTTTCTTACAAAGTACATTTATAATTGTGCAATCCCTGTCTGCTATTTTGTGATAATAAGTCATAATGTAACTGTATCTTTGCAAAACGTCAATGCTTTGACAAAAGCTAACACAAAAACAGACAAGGATAAATCATGTTCATGTCATTTTGATGATCGGACCTGCTTAATTGCAATGTCCTCGGCAAACCCCACCATTTGTGTTCACGGTTTAAAGAAAAATGATTTGTAAAAGCAATACTTGACACAAATATGTCCATGCAAGGTCAGTGCTCTCCTACTACTTGTGCTTAGCATGGATGCTTCTCCATGTAGCCAAATGTAAAGCAGAGGCCAATGTCATGAAGTGTTCGTAAAAGCTATAAACCTCCCCACATAAAAAGATACTTGCTCTGTGCTTCTTGGCTTCAGCTTTTTTTTTTTTTTTTTTCTGCTTCAAGGCTGTTAAACATGCTTTAACTCTTCGGTCTCCACTAAGGCACACTTTAGACAAAAACCTGCATGCTTTGGCTGGATCAGAGTCTAACAGAATTTGTTTGCTCTTATTATTTCACCTGATTGAAACATTGTACATTGTACAAAAGATATATAGAGAAATATCTATAGAACTTGGTGTAAATATAAGGGACGTGGTTGAGTTTAACAATCGAAAAAACAAGAATGTTACACTTGTGCTACAGTACAGTTGTTCAATGACATGCATTTGTGTACAGTCAATAGAAATTACCACGATTGACCACTGTGTTGGGTCATCAATAAATTTCTGTGATAAACTGTCGAGTCTTGATTGATTGCCACCTTACATGAGTTCAACAGAGCTTGTTTGTCACTTCATTGAGAGTGTGGGTGCAATTTTGCCACATGTAAAGAGGTTTGGTCAAGTTACAAATCCTTTTTGGAAGATTAAAATGGCGATCTTGCCTGTTAAATGCCCAAATTGAAACTTTTTTTTCAATTTTCTGAACCTTGATGTCATTTTTCACAACTCTAGACACAAAACTCACAACCAATGATGAAAATGCACATTTTTCAAAACTTTAACCATTTATTAATTTAGATCATTTGTTCATTTAACATAAATGACCTGTTCAATATGACACAACTTAACATCACAGTACTATTATTTCAAAAGGCAATTCACACATTGCATTTCAAATGAGTGTCTATTCATTTCCTTTCAATGATAGAACTATCAATTGATACAACTGCTCAAAATGATAAGTTACTGTTGCAGTATAGACACACAATCATCCATATTTACGGGAAATCATGAAAGTTTCAAGATAACGAGATTCAATGTCACCAATTAGCGTGGAGCATGAACCAATTTGACTATTATATCAATGGATTTAGCATAATATTAAACTGTTAAATTAATTTATTACACTGTTACTATTAAATTATTACTGTGATAATATAAACTGTTGTGATTGTACTAGTGTTTTGCATCAAGATCACACACTTTGTTCAATATGTGTGCATTCTCTACTACTGCAGTACTTTTACGGAGATATTTACTGTACCATAATGAAACCTGTATTACCTATTTTGTCCTACAATAGAATGATTGTATGAACAGTGACATTGAAACTACCGATTGCTTGTGTGTGGTTGATCTATAGTTATGTTTCAATGGTATTTTACAGTAAATTTGTTTTTTGAACCAATGATTGTGCAAGTGCAAGATTTTATTAAAGATGTGAAAGCAGTGCACAATGAAACGTTTTGAACATTAGACAGCCTGTGTTACAAGTAATAACCGTTTTGAGTTTTGTGTCTAGAGTTTTGAAAAATTACATCAAGGTTCTGAAAATAGTAGCAACGTGATTGTAAAAAAAAAAACTGTATTTGTACTGTAACTGTAAACCCATTCCCACACCTAAAAATACATATTTTAATCACTGTTAAAACCTCTATATCACAAAACTTAACATCTAGCATAGTTGTATCATTGGTAAAATATAAAATATTTCAATACCAACATTAAAGTAAAATATAATGCAGGCTAATGAAAATATGGGGGCAATGTGCAATAACTTAAACTTTCTAAATTAGCCTACACACCACCACCTACTTGAGAATTTGATACAAGTAAGTGCTAACGATAATAGCCTAACATTTCCGTGTTTCTTTGGGCTAAATTACTCATTTTATTAAACAAATGCTGAATTCTTTAAGTTCTATATTACACAGTGTATATTTTACATTAAATTTATTTTTGCACTAAAATTACTTGTGGGCAAATGGCGGAATTAGTAACAATTTGCACAGTTTTTGCAAAACAATTTGCAAAACAACAGCAGAATCCAACCTCAAAATTAAGCAACTTTAAGCAAACATCTGATTGCACTATTCAATACTATTCAACTGATCGAAATTTTTTATTTTACCTGTAGCATATATTTTATCGGGAACAATTTAGCCATTGCATTTATCACTTGACAAATGGCCGAAATTTTTCTGCATTATAATAATTTCTTTATTTGGTTTAAGATCAAAGATTATTTGGACCGTGTCGCCGCCTGGTGGTCAAAGGATGCATAGCATATACGCGTAAACTGCGTTGACACCATAGGTCGAATATTAGGTCGTTTTTTTTTTGCAGTCTATGGGTTAGACACGGGTTCATGTGTGAGCTGAACCATTGATATGTTAAAAAAAAAAAAACGTTTCGAGTCAGTTATGGCGTAACCGTAAACAAACGAAACAAACGATTCGCAAAGGTTTCGAAGCTTACGTAACGACGTCATTAGCAGTTATCTCCTCCCATTCCAGGAAGAGATTGTCGTTTTTGACAGAAGCAGCAGCAAGAAGCTAACTAACTTTCTAGTAAAGTTATTCTTTCCCTGTTAGTGTTATAATTATCCGTCGTCGTTACTTGATAGAATCTCTGTAAACACTGCAGGAGAAAATGTCCTTCATCATCAACGTGAGTAACAGTTATCTATATTTTAAATAAATGCGTATTTATTCCATCGCCTACGGGTTTTTTTTATTGCAGCACGCATACTCTCATACTCTCAATGTTACTGATGTTTCAAGAATTTAAATAATGCTAACGTTAATTGTATCCAGTTTGTTGGCATTCTCTGTGCATCACACACCCATTTTGTTTTTAGCCTTTGTGCAGGACACGCACACATTGTAATTTTGTAAATGAACCTATTTGGTATGTTAAAAATTGCCGTTTTATTTTCCTTTCTCTAGCTGATCTCTGGCAGCCTTCGGTTCATGTTTGATTTGCTCCGGAGACTCTTTGGCAAGAGCAGACCTGCCATTACCCTTGAAGACCCCAATTTGAAGTATCCATTGCGCCTTGTGGACAAAGAAGTGAGGATATTTTAAAATGTGATGGTTTAACTTGTGCATAACTCTTCTTTAACTCTTTCTTTCTGCCTTGTATTAAGATTGTTAGCCATGACACAAGAAAATTTCGCTTTGCTTTAAAATCACCAGATCATATTCTTGGACTTCCTATTGGTGAGTGCAGTAGATTGCTGTCTTTTTGCATTTGACCATTGTTCATTCATTGGCTAACTTAAATGTGTTGAATCATTGTATTTTTAGGGCAACACATCTACCTGTCTGCCAGGATTGATGGCAACATTACGGTGAGGCCTTACACCCCAGTGTCTAGTGATGATGACAAGGGCTTTGTGGATCTGGTGGTGAAGGTATGCGTATTACAATAACACAAATATAGATTGTTAAAATGGTTACAAATGCTAAAATAGTTTTTTTTTTTCTCAATTTATTCTTTATTTTAGATATACTTCAAAAATGTCCATCCAAAATTTCCAGAGGGTGGGAAGATGTCCCAATATTTGGAGAGCCTTCGTATTGGTGACACGATTGATTTCAGAGGACCAAGTGGACTTCTGGTTTACAAGGGCAAAGGTTTGTACTCTTGAAATCCACTGTGAGTCAGAGAAAAGCTATGAAAGCAACTGAAATAAAAATTTCTTAATGAAGTTACACTATCAATATTTTTGCAGGGTCATTTGCAATCAGGTCTGATAAGAAATCCGACCCTGTGGTGAAAACCGCAAAACATGTTGGCATGATCGCTGGTGGTACAGGTAATCACATTATCATCTATTTCATTATTATATCAGTTTTTGGAGCGCAATAAAACTATTACCTCTTTGTTTTATTTTCTTTAGGCATTACACCTATGCTCCAGATAATCCAAGCAATCATGAAAGATCCAAAGGATGAGACTGTGTGCTATTTACTTTTTGCAAACCAGGTGAGCCAAGTTTTTTTTTTTCATTCTGTCTGTGTATATATAGTTTTGGTTTATATTACATTTATATATGTTAAAAAGATGTAGTAATTATAAACCCAAACTATATTCTATTCTAAACCCAAACTATATTCATGTTAAAAGTGAGTGTAATTCCTGTGGACAAAAATACAACTTGGTTCAATTTGTTTGTCATGAAAAGTATTTAAAACTAAGAATTATTCCCACTCACTTCTCTTCATGTCTTCAAACAGACAGAAAAAGACATTCTCCTACGCACTGAGTTAGAAGAGGTCATGGCCAATCACCCGACACGCTTCAAGCTGTGGTACACCGTCGACAGGGCACCAGACGGTAAGAACATCTTGTTTTTACAGATAGAAAGAACAATTTTAGTTTAGGTGACATTAATATTTGACTAGAGGGTGACGCGTTGAAATATTCAATTTCATGTGGTAGGCTGGGAATACAGCCAAGGCTTCATCAGTGAGGATATGGTGAAGAACCACCTTCCTCCACCCGGTGATGACACACTCATCCTCATGTGTGGACCTCCTCCCATGATTCAGTTCGCCTCCAACCCCAGCCTGGAGAAGGTGGGCCATTCCATTGACAGGCGCTTCACCTTCTAGATGGGCCTTCTTCACCTGTGACACTTGAAAGCAAGCGGTTTTGCATTAAGCAAGTGCAGCTTCAGTTAAAATGATAGCCATGCTACCACCTGCCAAATGCCTGTATGGCTTTCACACATTTTACCTGCGTAACTGATCTGTATATGATGCAAAGAAAATGCCTGTACGTTTTCAGTTATATCAAAATGTACTCACTGTTTTTTTTTTTTTTGTGAGAAAATTCTGCATGCATAAATATTTATCTGCCATTAAGTCATGGAGAAGTTGTGTGTGTTTTATGCCTGGATTACAGCAAACTTTTTTTTTACATTTTGCAATATATATAATCAGATGAAGGATGAGATTGGAATGGAATGCAACGTTACACTTGCATTTTTGCTTAATTATGCACCTTTTAATCAACAAATATTGATGATTTGTAATAGTGTCTGTGTTATACATTTTTACATAAGCAGCAACAACAAGCTGTTCATCAAAGTTCATGCTCAGTCATTAGTTTTACACTAATCTTATTAATGCAATCACTCTAAGATGGATCACTCTGTAGGTGGGACCTGGTGTTGATCAGTGAGTTTACACTGCTCATTTGCCTTGTTATATCAAAACTTGTTTTTTAATTTGTCAAAACAAAAATTTAAGAACAAATCGGGGGTTTGTCCTTTATTAAGTGCCTTTCGGATAACATTATTATATTGCATAAATTAGATTCAGTTCTAAATGCATGATTCCATACAGTACATGCTGAATTCAATGATTAAAAACAAAAGTATATATATTTTTTTGTATTATTTCACCAGTTTTATACCTTTTTGTACAAGACTTGTTTGCTGTTCACCACGCTTGTCTACATGGCCGAAGCATATTCCTCCAATAATTTATCATTGACCAATAAAATTATATTCTTGATTGTTTGTGTAGTTTGTAGTCAATATTTCAAGTTGTTTCATGTGTTAAAATGCTCTCTGTAAGAATCTAATTTCTTTAAAATTGCAAACTATTGGCCTCCAAGCAAAAAACTTGCAATAAAAACAATATGACTGTTACGTACTCGTACGTATTTAAGTGTTGCAATATGGATGTGGGTGTGTTGTTGTTATTGTAGTGTGTGTTTCAGGTGTCCGTTGGATCAATCTGCTGTCAATCTTCATCATTACGGTGACGTTTCGGTTCGCCTCCTCCAATTACATCTCACCACTGCAGTTAAAGACCGGGCTCACCCAAATGTTGAACAGCTGTTTGCTCACTTTTGTTTGTTCCCTTGTTTGATTTGCTTTCAATGAGTTTCTGTGTGTGTCTAACATTTCAGTTGCTGTTTATTGTTGCTTAGTGTTTTGAGATTATAATGTCAACCTGATCATTTTACACGGAGTGTGTAAAGCTGGGAAGAGAGCAGGTTAGTAGGTCGCGCGACATTTGCACTTAGGATATTGTTGATTATGTTATAGACACAATAGTTTAGGACAGTGCCCACTTTGTAAGTTTTTGTTATGTAGTTAGTATAGTTTTAGTTAGAGTGTCTTGACGCCGAAGATTATTATTTTCTACATTTTGTGTTTGGTAGTTATTTTAGTTAAACTTAACCTTTAGATAATTCGTTTTGTTTTATTGATTTCTTTGATTTGGGATCTCTCGTGCTCATTTTCCCACTTTAAGTATTTGTTAAATGTTATGTCTGTTATTGTTCTTATTTATTGTTTGTACCTGTGGCAAACACATTTTTTCAAACGAAAATGGCAATGAGGATCCTTTTTGAGCTGAGTTCTGATCGAGTACGTTTTTTTCTTGTTCTGTCCTGCACTTTGAGAGACACACACTGTTTTTATAAATGTTGCTCCCTTAATCCCTTGAAAAATAAAAGAGGGACGTAACAATGACAAAAAATTATAAGCAATAGGTTGCTTGACAACAGCATCCATAATTCTATAGCATAACATCCTTAATTCTAAAAGAGGGAGCATTTGGTAATTTGCCTTATACACATTTAACACAATAGATGGAAACTTGCTTGAGTATGAAAATGTTAAAGTACCAGTATGACTTTTATTTTTAATATAGTCATTGCCAAATTTACCCTGACCCATTGTGAATTTACAGGGCTCCAGACTAACTTTTTTTACTAGGAGCACTGTTGCCCCTGACTGAAAATTTTAGGAGCGCAAGCAGAAAATTTAGGGGCACACCTTAAATCAGCTCGCAATGCAATTATTCAAATTTCCCCCAACATAACTGTAATACTGACAAATTCTTTGACAAATTTTAAGTTCGCAGGGCTCCAGACTCAAATTTGAAGGCAGCACCACCTCAAATCAGAACTCGAGTTATACAAAAAAAAAAAAAAAAAAAAAAAAAAAAACTGGTAGCACTGGGGCTGACAATAAATCACTTAGATTAATTTAGTTATTATCACTTATAATGTCTTAATATTAATTCAAAACAAAAGGAGAGAAAACATGTATGTATATAAGGACTTGGAGTGAAAATAGCCAATAAACATCTTACTGTTTACAATGTTTTTTTGTTTTTTTTTTTAAATAATAATAATAATAATTTTAATGTTTAAATAAGAGTTTTCCAACATCTTAAAATTTTTCGTTTTAGGACAATCTTTGAAGAATGAACAAAAAATGTGTTGATCATCACAAAAAAAATACAAAAAATAAAACATTTAACGTTACTGTATATATGATATTATCGTTTTGAAGAGCAGGACAAAGATGTGTAGGCTACGTTGTAAGCATTTGACATCATATTTATGAATAGCGTTAACTTACTACATTAGCCTAAATTCATGGTGAATGTTGCTGATTTGTGGACTGAAAGCCTTCTGTAAGTCTTTCTCCTGGTTTCCACGTCAGCGCTGTTTGATCTGATATCTGTGGTTTATAACAGAACTCTGCGCCGAATCGGAGTGTTTCTCACTGGATCTCGTAGCGATGATGTTATTAATTCTGAGGTGAATTCAATGGATTTATTCACTGGATCTGCTAGTAACAGTGTGGCGTGATCGAGATCGGCCCGCGACTGGCAAGTTCGGGGCTAAAGTTATTACTGTCAGTGGTTCGGGGGGCTCCACTATGCGCTGCTCTGTCTATTATGTCCAACCTAATAAAAACGCTAACGGTCCGTCCGTGAGTTACGTATTTTAGTTCCACTTTCATTTTGTTTGTATTCGCTGCTAGGTAACGTGTCTATCGCTTATTGCTCAGACGCACATTGCAGGTTGTGATATTTGTCTCCGTCTCCTTCCCACAGACGTTTATTCGCGCTATTCTTGTCACGGATTCATTGACGCGTCCCTTCCACGCTTTACCATGCGTTTAACGTGTGGCAAATTTACCGGTCGCACATGTGCGACTGGATGTAAAATTCAGTCGCACACTCTCAAATTTTGGTCGCAAAATGCGACTATTTGGTCGCAGTCTGGAGCCCTGATTTAACTTCCTGTCCAGTGGCCAAGACTGCAAGTGTGGGCAGGCCAATAATCAACTTCATGGGGTAGGGAGTTGTGAGTGCAAGCAGTGAGGATTTTTATTTTTATTTTTCTAACTCTCAATTTGCAACGCTAATTCACAAAAATCACCACAGGAGGGCGCACTTTTTATGTTTATTAGACTCGATTTGCAACGGTGTGTAATTCACACAAATCACCACAGGAGGGCGAAACACTTTTATGTTTATTAGACTCGATTTGCAACGGTGTAATTCACACAAATCACCACAGGAGGACCACTTTTATGTTTATTTATTTCTCAGAATGACAGAAACCGAAGCGCAGTTTTCATCCGCTCCACTAGGCGGCGTGAGAGGGCTTCACTGTCAGAGCGACTCCTTTGGTAATTGACGCTTGTTGATTACAGATAGACGCTACATGTGCAGATGACCATTTAAAAAAAAAAAAAAAAAAAAAAAAAAAACGTGCAGATGAAAGGCACACAACTGGACATATTTCAGCAAATAAATCGACATACAGTCCGAAAAAATGCGGGAATTGAGTGTCATTTGACTCCTCGGTAGGTAACTTTTATGGGGTTCCATTTGTGCCAAAAATGAGTCGACTGCTTTGTGCTTTGTACTACACATTTGTCCTTGTCAACAGTCATTGTCTAGTTGATTGTAAAACTGGTATATGTTGATGTGTGTTTTCTCTGTTTATGTCGATTTGATCTGTCGTTCTTACTGTATTGATCCTCCTTTTTCAGGAAAAATAGTATATGTTGATGTGTTTGTTCTGTATTTCGTACTTGAACTGTAGTCCAATACTAGCCTACTGTCGTCCCGTTCTGTCATCTGAACTGTCATCCTGTTCAGTATGGGGTTTCCATTTGTGCCAAAATTATGTCGACATGCTGTCTGTCTATGCTATGTGTTGTCTTCCATGTCTATGTGTCTGTTCACTGTCTATGTTCATGTTGTCTGTCTATGCTATGTGTCGTCTTCCTTGTCTATGTGTCTGTTCACTGTCTATGTTCATGTTGTCTGTCTATGCTATGTGTTGTCTTCCATGTCTATGTGTCTGTTCACTGTCTATGTTCATGCTGTCTGTCTATGCTATGTGTCGTCTTCCGTGTCTATGTGTCTGTTCACTGTCTATGTTCATGTTGTCTGTCTATGCTATGTGTTGTCTTCCATGTCTATGTGTCTGTTCACTGTCTATGTTCATGCTGTCTGTCTATGCTATGTGTCGTCTTCCGTGTCTATGTGTCTGTTCACTGTCTATGTTCATGTTGTCTGTCTATGCTATGTGTTGTCTTCCATGTCTATGTGTCTGTTCACTGTCTATGTTCATGTTGTCTGTCTATGCTATGTGTCGTCTTCCATGTCTATGTGTCTGTTCACTGTCTATGTTCATGTTGTCTGTCTATGCTATGTGTTGTCTTCCATGTCTATGTGTCTAAGATTGGAGAAACTTAATTTTTCGCCCGAAAAAAAAAAAAAAGTAAGGGGTGCCACTGTCGTTTTTTTTTCGGGCCGAATTTTTGAGTTTCGATATCTCAGCTCTGGAAGGGGCTAGAGCCTCCAATTTTGCACTCAGGTCTAAGTCTCATGGCCCTCTATCAGAATCCAGAGTTTTGGGAAGATTGGAGAAACTTAATTTTTCGCCCAAAAAAAAAAAAAACCGTAAGGGGTACCACTGTCGTTTTTTTTTTCGGGCCGAATTTTTGAGTTTCGATATCTCAGCTCTAGAAGGGGCTAGAGCCTCCATTTTTGCACTCAGGTCTAAGTCTCATGGTCCTCTATCAGAATCCAGAGTTTTGGGAAGATTGGAGAAACTTAATTTTTCGCCCGAAAAAAAAAAACGTAACGGGTACCACTGTCGTTTTTTTTTTTCGGGCCGAATTTTTGAGTTTCGAGATCTCAGCTCTGGAAGGGGCTAGAGCCTCCATTTTTGCACTCAGGTCTAAGTCTCATTGCCCTCTATCAGAATCCAGAGTTTTGGGAAGATTGGAGAAACTTAATTTTTCGCCCGAAAAAAAAAAAAAAAGTAAGGGGTGCCACTGTCGTTTTTTTTTCGGGCCGAATTTTTGAGTTTCGATATCTCAGCTCTGGAAGGGGCTAGAGCCTCCAATTTTGCACTCAGGTCTAAGTCTCATGGCCCTCTATCAGAATCCAGAGTTTTGGGAAGATTGGAGAAACTTAATTTTTCGCCCAAAAAAAAAAACCGTAAGGGGTACCACTGTCGTTTTTTTTTTTCGGGCCGAATTTTTGAGTTTCGATATCTCAGCTCTAGAAGGGGCTAGAGCCTCCATTTTTGCACTCAGGTCTAAGTCTCATGGTCCTCTATCAGAATCCAGAGTTTTGGTAAGATTGGAGAAACTTAATTTTTCGCCCGAAAAAAAAAAACTTAAGGGGTACCACTGTCGGGTTTTTTTCCGGGCCGAATTTTTGAGTTTCGAGATCTCAGCTCTGGAAGGGGCTAGAGCCTCCATTTTTGCACTCAGGTCTAAGTCTCATGGCCCTCTATCAGAATCCAGAGTTTTGGGAAGATTGGAGAAACTTAATTTTTCGCCCGAAAAAAAAAAAGTAAGGGGTACCACTGTCGTTTTTTTTTTGGGCCGAATTTTTGAGTTTCGATATCTCAGCTCTGGAAGGGGCTAGAGCCTCCATTTTTGCACTCAGGTCTAAGTATCATGGCCATCTATCAGAATCCAGAGTTTTGGGAAGATTGGAGAAACTTAATTTTTCGCCCAAAAAAAAAAACTTAAGGGGTACCACTGTCGTTTTTTTTTCCAGGCTGAATTTTTGAGTTTCGATATCTCAGCTCTGGAAGGGGCTAGAGCCTCCATTTTGGCACTCAGGTCTAAGTCTCATGGCCCTCTATCAGAATCCAGAGTTTTGGGAAGATTAGAGAAACTTAAGCCTAGTTCACACTACGTGATTTTAAGCCTGATTTAAGCCCGATTTGCAAATCGTTGAGTCGCCGACAAGTCAGGGTGTTATCGCGTGCAAATCGCGGGCGATTAGCGGATGATTAACGCTCGCCAATCCGTTAGTGTAAAAGAGCCAACAACGCATCAAAGACAGCTCGCAGACAGTTGCAGACAGGTCACCGAGCTCAGAAAAATATCTAGCCTGCTAGATATCTCGAGCAGTCGCGCGACTCAATCTCAGTGATGTCATGAGTACAGCCAATCATAGCAACGCATGGGTTGAGGACACCAGGTAAATCTTACTTTTTCTTTTTTGCATTTTTTTTCTCAGAGCAGATCGTCGAGCAAACAGTGTGCAGCACTAGTTTCTGTCTGACGTCCATATTCGCGTGTTATGTTCTTCTCTGTAGTTTCGCGACATTTCTGGTTCGTTTTATTGCGTGGTTTTTCGTTACAAAACATGGTTTCTAGACCAGATAGAATCGTGTTGTTGTCAACTCGTTATTTGTTTGATTATTTTCAGGATTTAGACCGTACTATAGTACTGAAACAGCTCTCATTGAGTCACAAATGATATGCTCTTATCATCCGATCGTGGTTGTATCTCTATGCAGTGCGTTGTTAACTCGTGTAGTGAGTTACCTCCTGTTGTGGATCAATCACGTTGTGTTGTGTGGTGTGGTGTGAACAGCTAAACAACTTGAACACTCATGATTTCACTGAGAGCAAGTCATGTAATGTGAACTGCACAGTTCAGCCCAACATTTTAAAATCATGTAGTGTGAACTAGGCTTTAATTTTTCGCCCGAAAAAAAAAAAACGTAAGGGGTACCACTGTCGTTTTTTTTTTCGGGCCGAATTTTTGAGTTTCGATATCTCAGCTCTGGAAGGGGCTAGAGCCTTCATTTTTGCACTCAGGTCTAAGTCTCATGTCCCTCTATCAGAATCCAGAGTTTTGGGAAGATTGGAGAAACTTAATTTTTCGCCCAAAAAAAAAAAAAACGTAAGGGGTACCACTGTCGTTTTTTTTTCATGCCGAATTTTTGAGTTTCGATATCTCAGCTCTGGAAGGGGCTAGAGCCTCCAATTTTGCACTCAGGTCTAAGTCTCATGGCCCTCTATCAGAATCCAGAGTTTTGGGAAGATTGGAGAAACTTAATTTTTCGCCCAAAAAAAAAAACCGTAAGGGGTACCACTGTCGTTTTTTTTTTTCGGGCCGAATTTTTGAGTTTCGATATCTCAGCTCTAGAAGGGGCTAGAGCCTCCATTTTTGCACTCAGGTCTAAGTCTCATGGCCCTCTATCAGAATCCAGAGTTTTGGAAGATTGGAGAAACTTAATTTTTCGCCCGAAAAAAAAAACGTAAGGGGTACCACTGTCGTTTTTTTTTCGGGCCGAATTTTTGAGTTTCGATATCTCAGCTCTGGAAGGGGCTAGAGCCTCCATTTTTGCACTCAGGTCTAAGTCTCATGGCCCTCTATCAGAATCCAGAGTTTTGGGAAGATTGAGAAAACTTAATTTTTCGCCCAAAAAAAAAAAAGTAAGGGGTACCACTGTCGTTTTTTTTTCGGGCCGAATTTTTGAGTTTCGATATCTCAGCTCTGGAAGGGGCTAGAGCCTCCATTTTTGCACTCAGGTCTAAGTCTCATGGCCCTCTATCAGAATCCAGAGTTTTGGGAAGATTGGAGAAACTTAATTTTTCGCCCGAAAAAAAAAAAACGTAAGGGGTACCACTGTCGTTTTTTCGGGCCGAATTTTTGAGTTTCGATATCTCAGCTCTGGAAGGGGCTAGAGCCTCCATTTTTGCACTCAGGTCTAAGTCTCATGGCCCTCTATCAGAATCCAGAGTTTTGGGAATTGGAGAAACTTAATTTTTCGCCCCAAAAAAAAAAACGTAAGGGGTACCACTGTCGTTTTTTTTTTCGGCCGAATTTTTGAGTTTCGATATCTCAGCTCTGGAAGGGGCTAGAGCCTCCATTTTTGCACTCAGGTCTAAGTCTCATGGCCCTCTATCAGAATCCAGAGTTTTGGGAAGATTGGAGAAACTTAATTTTTCGCCCCCAAAAAAAAAAAACGTAAGGGGTACCACTGTCGTTTTTTTTCGGGCCGAATTTTTGAGTTTCGATATCTCAGCTCTGGAAGGGGCTAGAGCCTCCATTTTTGCACTCAGGTCTAAGTCTCTTGCCCTCTATCAGATTCCAGAGTTTTGGGAAGATTGGAGAAACTTAATTTTTCGCCCCAAAAAAAAACGTAACGGGTTCCACTGTCGTTTTTTTTTCGGGCCGAATTTTTGAGTTTCGATATCTCAGCTCTGGAAGGGGCTAGAGCCTCCATTTTTGCACTCAGGTCTAAGTCTCATGGCCCTCTATCAGAATCCAGAGTTTTGGGAAGATTGGAGAAACTTAATTTTTCGCCCAAAAAAAAAAAATTAAGGGGTACCACTGTCGTTTTTTTTTCCGGCCCGAA